GATTGTTAACAAACGGCAAACAATTCCCTGTGGAACGAGGCTGCCAAATTCAGGGCCTACTGTGTCCTCGAGTGCGTCCCAATTGCAACCAAAAGTTGAGATCATATCCTGATGTCAAATTGGGTACAACACCAGAGCAGATCTGTCACTAGTAGTGCGACGACAGATTGACGCAACAAATCGAGAGCAGGTTTGTCAACCGCAGACCGACAACAAATTTGCGCCAAATGCCCAGCAGATCTACGGCAATTTTCGACGACAAAAATTAGATCAGTTACAGTATTAATATATAATAATACATATTAATGTGTTAAAACATATAGGTAAATTTAAATAATTTGATTTATAAAATTAAAGATTTTTTTGGAGAGGAATTGCCCGAATAAGTAAAAATCGACCAATTATTTGTTCGATTTTCCAAAAATTAGTTCAATATTTGAATTATCCTGTATAGGCATCGTGTCAAAAATTGAACTGATAGAGATAGATATATTACAATATTATTAGTCACATTTTGCAGGCTTTATATACACTCATGACAAAAATTGGAATACAGGTATAAATAATGAATAACGGACCGCATAGTAAGCGATTGAACTATACTATAATATTTCAAATAATAGAATTTTGTAATACTTTGTCATATTCTGCTTGGTTTTTGCTGCCAATATGCCATTAGATTGTGCACGCCAGATCTTGCTCAGTTCGTGCCGACAATCTGATGCCAGTCTGTCAGTCATGTCAGCAAGCTTTGCTCGGTTTCCGCCGCCAATTTACTGTCGGGTTATGTCGGCAACCTTTGCTCAATTTTTGCCGTCAATCTGCCAGCTTAATCGGTAATAACAACTTTTGTACCCAATTCGTAGCCTTTTTGCTGACAATAATTTGTAGCAGACCTTGCCAAAATCTGTTAGAACAGACTTGGCTAACTGGGTAGTAGATTTAACCATGCGATTGCGAATAATATATAGATCTAAGAAACTTACATTTATGGAATCACGGATTACATAGTACATGATAACAATTTATCTGGAATAACTCCTTTCAACCATGAAATACTAAAACTTGAATTTCCAAATTAATTACCAGACATGGAACAAATTTAACAAGTGACTC